GAACCGTTAGGTAACCAGTAATTTAGTTTATTTTCTTTTTAAAACCGACGAAGGCCGAACTTGCTCCGTCGAATTTCTAAGTTGCTCTAAAGCGTTGTTTTTAACGTTTCCATAGGTCGCTGTCAAACACAACGTTAACTGCAGAACATCACTGTCGTGTTAAAGTATCAGCATATTGACTTTGGAATAAAAGGTGACAGTTCAGCTGCTTAATCTCAGCGTTATTTTCATTATTTCTTAGTTGCAAGGAGTCTTGCGGCGTTTGAGATCGTTACTTTAGAAGAGTCACTCGGGGAGAATCGGGCGCTCGGTTTACTTCGGGATCAACTAACAACCGTGGAAGTTTTGACGCTTCTTCGGAGTGTCGCTACGTATACTTTCCAGCGCCAGAGGGATCTCTAATTTGGGAACATTAGAGTATGTACTGTTACAAAGGAGATATCCCCCACCCCCATAAAATATAACAAATAATTTCTTTTTAGTAGATAACAGTACAGTATTTGGTTCAATATCGGTATAAATTTATACATATTAGCAAACTTGAATACGATGTTAGCATATTCACAACCAGTCACAATTATATATTTACCTTTATCTTGGGAAATAATTATATTTCCTCTCAGGTTATTGGTAATAATAAAACTCGACGAAATTGTTTATTTCCCTGTGCCTCTGGCATTGAGTAACGAGCACCGTGCAGCCGGCTTGTGCTCTACCAAACTTTGCCCTTAGCAAGCTTGTCCGGCGACAGTACATGGGACCGTTCATTTAACAGCCCCAAGCTGACAGTCCGTTTCCGCCCCTGGACACACTATACCGCCCGAAAACCTTTCGTTACAATACTAACAAACTGAAAAGTGCAAAAATTTCATGACGACACCTCACAAAATGTTTTTACCTTTTATCGTTATGGCCGCAAAGGACGTGCAATTATCCCACAAGGCACTAAACCAACCGCTCGCCGGTGAACTTAGCGTAGGAATATATAGATTCGAGCGTCTGCTCTGATCAGTGTAAATAAAAAAGGTAACTTATGCCAGGATAACGTAATAGCAATTTCGTTTTGACTTCCGCAATGGCCTTAATGATGCTGAAAAAGTTTTTCTCCCGGCTAGCGGTCACTATGGTAATTCACCAACAGCATATTTCAATTAAAGAGAAAATGAATATTTGTCCCTATTAATAACTATTAAAAAATAAGTGACAGTTAAGAACGCCAACAAGGAATATTTGTGTAAAAAAAGCCCAAAAGTTTTCGACTGTTAAGTCTTGTTCAGGGCGAATTGATACCTTTTTGCCTTGCAACCTTTGACACATAACAGAAGTATATAATTCGTAGACAGGTAGAGTAGAAGACGTTTATCTCACTCATTTGCAAGAGTTTTCCACTTGAAAAATCAAGACTTCGTTTTTAAAAAATTAATAATTACACAACAAGCCCGACGCCCAACAATTTTGGGTATTTTAGATCGAAACAAAACTCGAAAACAATTTTCCTCAGCGAGCAAGCAACGATGACGAACCAAAGAAGAGTCACCGATGCCCAATGGATGGAACACGCTCAGTGCTTATAATAGGCGAATAGTAGTTCTTCACAGAGGGTCGCTACTATCCTGGAGTTTTGAACATTCATTGAGGCTTATGCAGTTGTCATGCCATTAGGCTTTCGGATAAGGGCCAGCTGGGCCAGGTTCACTGTACTCGCATAAAGCAAGTTTACCGCCGCTTTTTTAGGATTAGAAAACCGCTTCACCTTTTGTTGTATTTGTAAATTGCACAATTGAACTTTACGAAATTCAATTTCATCATGTAATTGAATTTCGTAAAGCTCAATGCCCTTCGTTTCTTGAGCAAAACGTTGTTATATTTTCAAATACAATACGTGGTGGAATCGAGCAATGTTAGTAGTATTATCAAAGCAAACAACTACTCGTAAAAAGTGCTTCAAGCTGCCTATCAAATGAAGCCGATATGCCTGTACCAGCCCGTTTCTTCTTTGAATTAAAGGACCGTGGCCGCCGTTGATTCAGAATCTTGGTGATGAAGCCCGTCAATCCAATTTCGTATATCAGCAGGGCTGTACTGAAAAACCACTTATCACGATCCGCATATTACAATTCCTGATATTTTTTATGTTGGTCTCGTTGCCCACAGTGTATGTATGACACAATAAAAATATAGCCATGCATATATGAACAGTGAACTATCACCAATGTAATGCTTCTAGATCCTTATTTCCACTTAACATGCAACTGGTACCGCTGCTTAAGCCGTTCGCAAGTGATATACAGTACAACATTTGAAGCGACCCAAAAACGGAAGATACGGGATTGACATGTCTATAAAGAACGCTAAAGCTAATTATGCCAGAACAACAAAAAAAAAATGGTGCAGCCCCAAGCGAAGAATACATTTGTAAACACATCTCGTGAACTTCAGGACCCTTCAGTGTTGTTGGATCGGGGAAAAATTAAATTAAATTTTGCTCTGTGAGAAAATAAGCTATTGTACAAAATCAACCTGAGACCATTTTTACAATCACTGCATTCCGCTACTTTAACCCGGCAATTGTTTTCCAGTAGTTTGACTTTGTGCTACTGAATTTTGTGTGAGAAATTGGCATTCGTTTGAGAGCGTTAATTTTGCCTCAGTCCAGAAAAGAAATTCAATTTCCTGTTCGCGAAAGCGAAGATCGCGAAATAGTGACTGTAATTTTAGAAACAGCAAAAAGGAAGACATCCATGTACACAGTTGTTGGTTGTAGCCTCGGCCGAGAAAACGGGCGAAAAGCCCATCAAAGGGATAGCAGATAATTTTCCGGACGAGTGTTGCTTTGATATGTAGGTTTGGTTGCGTGACTTTTTGTCGCATAAAGCGGCTGATATTTTACGACAATTCGAAACTTAAACCATTGAAAATTTCCCGTATCTATTTGACAGGATTAAAGAGCAAGTTTTGCACCTTAATTGAGCGAAAATGTGCAATTATACGCGTATTTAAGTGGACCTTCAGTTCACCCGTGAATATCATTAAATGGAAGCCATTTTTGTTTTGGTGTAAACTTTCAATGGAAATCTCAATTACATGTTGTAACATTTACTGGCTTTGACTTTAAAATTTGTTTTCACTTACTTGCACTTATCCTCGCTCTGAAAGTCACATCCAAAACTATCTGCCTTTAGGCTTAGCCGCACTGAAAACGACAGCGACAAGAAATGTAATAAAAATCAATCTACGGGCGTCTGTTATCTCTGAATTTTAATGAATGTCGTGATACACAAACAACTTTAAACACTCGGGGACGACATGAATAATGCATAATTTCAAGCCATTTATAATACCCCCGAGAGAGCTTTAACAAAAACAAAGTGTTATTTATTTAATATTCACGTCAGAAAAACAGCAATATGTGGCCAACCGAACTAAAAGCTGCCGTGATTTTTGCCCTGTACCACCCGATTCGACATGTGTAGAGGGTTTATGAATTGACTTAAATTTTATATCGACCTTTGATTATTTGCTGCAAGTCATCAGTGTAAACTTTTTCGCGCAAATCAATTTTTAGAAGTTAAAAAATGTGCCAAAAGAGGAGAAGTGTGTGAAACGTCGATCTACCATACAAATATTGATAATTATTTGTCCTGTATTTATGTAGCGAAAGCTTGATTATGCATATCGAATTGATTTTCAGGCTGAACTTTAACTGAATTTCAATACACACATTTGAACGCCGGCAGTGGAAGCGTGTTTTAAAGTGTTGTATTTGTCTTGCTCATGAAAAACAGGCTAACAATCTAACTAAGAAACAATTGTTGTGTGGTTGAGTGCATTTCATCTGTTATTACTGCTGGAACTATCAGCGCCCTGATGCTCGTACTTACTCAGTCCCAGCGGAGTGGTTTTTATTCCTGGAACATTAGAAACCCGACAGGGCTAGCATAAAAGCATGATCCTTAAGGCTCGTACCTTCTTTCAGATAGTTTTTCAATTCCAATATTTCAAGTGCCGATTTGCCTCGCTCAGAGATTTAATCATGGCATGAAATACAAACGGAGGTACGGATGGACAAAAATTGAAGAAGATAAGGGCGATAAAGGGATTGTGATATGGATTGTTAAAAAACTGTTAATGTTAGGCTGGACAGCTTTGAGAAGTTTTCAAAGTTAGTCTGCCCGGGAGACTTACTTGTTTGTAATGAAGCTATGGTTTTGTCACATAGATCCATAACGGTAATTTCTTCGCTAACATTAAGTTTCCGTATTTTATGAAGTTTCAAACTTAATAAAATGAGACTAAACTCCGCCGTGATACAGTCCCTTTAAGTTTTACTCCTTAGTTGTTCATTAATCTCTTTGTAAGAGATGTTATATGTTCTCTAAAGCCTGGAGAAATAATCAAATTTGGGTGTTTTTTTTTTTTTGGTTCGTATTTGCATCTACTCTTCATCACTGTCTATGTGTAGTTTGGTTTGTGACGCACGCGGCAAAGCTTTCTTGACTTGAGTTTATTTTCGCCTACTGCAAAGATATTTACAAATGTTCAATCTTCCAACCTTCCCGCTTCTCTCAGACATTCATCTTTACACATTTCACTGCTCCTTTTCAGTCCCTCCTCTTCCACCCTCATTGATAAAAAGCTGTTTTTCTGCTACCTCCTATTCAACCATCCGTCAGATGCATTAGCCAACGACCGAGCAATCGAGGGAGCGAGCGAGTGAGTGAGTGAGTGAGTGAATTTTTTCCGATCCATTCCGGACAAATACTTGTTGCGGATTTGCATTTAACCTGAAAAACAAAAGTTGTCCCTGCCATTTGCGTGGAGCTATTCTCATCATGCTTTATCTATTCGTTTCTAAAAAAAATTAAAAATTTAAAGCTACAGCACAGCAGAAACAGCGTGGGGCCGATTTAATGGCTATGCGTAATAAATACGGTTGGTTGCCCATCAAGAAGGTGCATGTACGCATTGCGTACCTATGTAGGTCCAAAGAACACACGGAATGCCGAACAACTATTGTTTATTATTTTATTCGTTTATTTTACACAATATGTTCACCATGTTTTAATTATCTGGCAAACAATTATTCAAGCGTCTAATTCTCTGCAGTTATCTTTATCTTGTAGTTCTTGGGAACTACGAACTACCGCTTTTTGTATCTTCTTCTTGTGTCAGTCGTTCAGCTTCATTCCGTCACAATCCAAGCTTCTGGCTGCCTCACAAAGGCTCCTGGCTGTTACTTCAAACTAGAGGGAAAATTAAAGACAAATATTTGAAGGCCGGCCCTGTTGAGTTTTGTATGCAGACAAAATGATTTTCATTGCTTTACCTAAAAACCTCTACTAAATTGCTTCTTATTACATTAATTTGTACTCGCCGACATAGCTCGTTTTAAACAATTTTTGCTCATGATAAGTGAATAAAGATGGTGAACGTTAAGCTCGGTAATGAAAGGTGAAAAGTGAACTGATCAACAAGGCACGAGCGTGGTTCAAAGAAAAAATCTGAGTCCCCGACATGGGTTCAGTTCCTGTCGGGGACTCAGATTTTACGCTCGTGTCATGTTGATCAGTTCACTTTTCAAATTTTTGTTTATTTTTACAGTGTTGCGAAATTTCTCCAAGAATATAATAAGATAATAATGAAAACAATGCAATTTAAGTAATTATTTATCTCACTAAAAATAATTCTAGAGATTTTTTTTAGTATCATCGGAGACTAAAGAAACAGAAAAAATATAATACAACAAACCTGAATTAATGAAAACACTTAAAACCTTTTTTTGTAGCAGTCAGCGCAATTTGGCAAAATTGGTGAAAGTTTTGAAAAGCTTTCAACTAGCTAGCTTGCAGCTTTTAGACTATGCTGAACTTTTGCTGAAAAAAATGTTTGCATCAGGTTATGTATCTCAAACCACCGGCCGGTGGAGCTCGGCCCAGTGTCTGTAACATGCAGCAACTGGAATGTTTGTACTTTTCCCTTAGTGGAATACTACAGGCTGGTCCATCGCGCTTTGTAGAAAGGATAGCGAAAACTTCTACGACGAGCCACTGGTTTTCCATTTTGTTAATAAGGCTCTCCTCATCCTTAGTACCTTTATTTAAAGCAGGAGCTTTATTTAGAGACTTTAGGCGTTAAAAACTATATTTAAATTCAAGGGTCATCGAAACAGCTAGTTTAACCTCGTAGTCTCTTAGTGAATAGGTGGAAATTTCGCTACGGTCAGTGATCTATAATTTCTCTTCTGCTCTGAAGATGACCAAATTGTCCATCTGCATTGAAGACGACAAACGCCCTTGACTTCACGTTCTAGTTTATGAATAAGTTTTCTTAAAAAAAAAAAAAAAAAACAGCAATACCTAACGATACAGACCTTTCTCTCCAGCTCTCTTCTCCCTCCTGGAAATGTTCCAAATGCTGCCTCGGCATCTTGAACGACTGTGGTGAACAGCAACAGGGCAACGACGAAGAAGACTTGGATCTTCATTTTCGAAGCACTTTATCGCAGGCGTACGGTGCAAGCTACCAGGCACGTTTTGGTTGCCCAATCTGTTCTACCGCGCTGTTTATAAAGTTAGCAGGCGGTAATTAGCTTTTTTGCGATGTCTTTTTGAACACTTTTAGGCGTTTAAAACGAGGATCAATTTACCCAGTTCTGAGGGACCGAAAAATGGCAATTTTCCACTTTAAAATGGAGCGTTTTGTACGTAACTTAAGACTAAATGGGCGCTTTCAAAGTTTGCCGAAAGAGAACAGTCATATTGTTTATGTCTGGACTGATAAATTAACTCAGTAATCTGTTTAATGTTGGCGTTATTAAAACCCAAATTATTGCACATTGAAGTGCTGATCCCAGTCTGTTAGCAGCAGATAATTCAGGGTATTTTGTGACCTGTCCAGCTTTGTCGTATAGCGACAAGACTGTAAATTTGACTGTGCTCCCTCCAAGTTGAGCGGTCGCACAACTAACTTAACTTGCGTGTCGATCAAACGTTCAACTTCTTAATTAATGTCTCACTGGTTTATTTGGCTTCTATCGACAGGCTATTTTGCTTCAATTGTTGTTGCGATGGGAAAATTAGCGTCAATGCAAATTTACATGTAAACTGATCCTATAAATTCAAACCCCGTTGTCTACATTAATGGAACAGTGCACTCTTAGACATGTGACTGGTGGCTCACGGAATAAGAAGTTGTGTCTGTCACCTGTGAAGCTAAAGCCAATTTCGATGGGCCTTCAAACACTTATGTCTGCTTATAACTCTTCTGTCAATTTCGCTTAAATAAACGACGGTGGCCTTTTAAGTTTCTCAACATGACATTTGAGAGGTAAACAAGAAAGCCATCTGTAGCCCTGAATGTCATATTAAATTCAGGTTTCGATCGTTCAATGGCAGGTAATGAAAACAAAAGATTGTATGGGATCATGACACACGTCGTCACGTCCTGACACCAAAGTAATTTGCAAGAGAGATATAACCAATATTTTTCTCAGGGACAAAGCTAGAGAAAGGAGATGTGAACTGACGCAGCCACTGGTGTGTACTCATTGCGGACCTATAGAATTCATAGCCAGCACCTCACATGCAAGGCGTCGTATTTAGGGCTTGCAACTAAAATACAAAAGGATTTCGACGAATTCGTATAAGATTCACATAGAATGTTTCATCCGCTCATTTGATTTCCTTTACATACTCTTCAAAGGAAATTACGGTGACGGAGAGAGAGAGAGGAAAAGGCGGCGGGGGAGGGGGTGCAAAGTGGCGAGTGTGGGAGAACAAATGCCTTGGTAATTGCAATACGATTGACTGCGACGACTGTGACGCTATCGTTGCCGTTGCTGTCTTGGTTTGCTTAATCCCTTGTATTTCTAACTCTTTAACTGCTCCGGACGTATGTGCGCATTGCGTACATAAGCAAAATTAATCAATCATTCGATGCTGAATGTCCATGGTTTATTAATGTTCTGCTATTCCAGAAAATTTAGACAATGTTTTACTCTACATTTTCTGGCAGACAGTTATTTTAGCACATAATTGACTCAGTGATGTTTGTATTCGAGTTCCTGAGAAATGTAGTCACTTATGTTTCTTCTCGGGTCAGTCTTTCAGTTTCATTCCCTCACAATCCAAGCTTCTGGCTGCCTCACAAAGGCTCCTGGCTGTTATTTCAAACTAAAGGGAAAATGGAAGACAAATATCATCATTTTGGGTTGAATTTGAGATCCAGATAAGCATAAAAGCGGGCTGCTTCTGTAGCGTTGACGTGGTTCAACCAAATTTCAATTCAGTTTTTTTTTATGCAGAGTTCTAATAATTCCTATTGCAATTCTTTGATCTTTACGTTGTTGTTTGTTAAAGGGACGTGATAAAATAATGCAATAAAGATCGTTTATTAGACTCGACACGTCTAAGATCAAGAGACGTTAGCAGGATGGGCAATCGGGATAAAGCAAGAAGAGGTTAAAGAGCCCGTAATATCTAGGGATACAGACCTTTCTCCCTAGTTCCCTTCTCCCTGGATGAAATGGTCCAAATGCTGCCTCGGTATCTTGAACGAATGCAATGAACAGCAACAAGGATGCGATAAATAAACAAGCCGGGATCTTCATCTTGAAACCACTATCTCATTGGTGTGCTACCGCGCTTATAGTAGTGTGTTGAATAGTGTTTCGACATTTAATTTATAAAGATGCAGGTGGTAATTAAAGTTTTCAGAGGCGCCTTGTGAAGCATCTTATGAGGGGCAATTCACCTTCTCAAGATTTGAAAAAAGCTTTTATCCTCTCGAATGAACAGTTTGGATGCGTTTCACACTTAACGAAAGACTAAATCGACACTTAGGAACTTGATGTTAAATTACACCTTGGGATAGGAGTCACGATCACGTACTTGGTCCTCACTGGAAGACTTCCCAATATTTTCTCTTCATGTTACTATATTGCGGTCCATCTTGTATCTCGCGACAGTCAGCTATTTTCTTTCGCTGAGGTCGATATGCAAGAGGGAGGGTAGACATTGGTCGTAGGGAGAAGATGGGTCGAGATCAACTGAGAAGACTTGGAGCTGTTATTTGATCTAAGATTGGTTTAGTTAAATTTTATTACGAATAAGTCACAACAGGAGCAAGTCCTTAAAACCACCACTATCATGATCCACAATACAGAACTTCTGACCCTGTTGTTGTGTACTGCTGTGTTAAAGCCTAAACCTATTAAATTTGTGCTTTTCATCGTTTAGGTTAGCTATTAGCATTGTGGACAAATTACAAATCCTCTCAGCACAGTCTCGCTGTTTTTGTCGCCATGCCATAAAAAGCAAACATGTAAGCCATCTGTCGCTAATATCAGATTATTGAGGTCACACCTTGCTCAAGGGCAGGTTGTGACATTGAAAAAATTGATCTCCTAAGGACACTTACGTTAAGTTAAATTTAAAAAGATTCTATCGTATCGGGACACATGTCGTCATCGTCTGACACTAAAAAAAATTCAGGAGAGTCATATGACATGATTTTATCAGTGCAAAAACGAAGGAGAAGTGGAGTGACGCAGCCATCTGTGTGTACTCATTGCGAACCTACACATTTCCCAGCCAACACCTACACATGGAAGGCGTCGTAATTAGGGCTTAGAGCTAAAATACGCATGCTTTTTGACGAATCCTTATAAGATTCACACTGCTTATTCGATTTCCTTCGTACATTCTTTGAAGGAAATTAGGGTGACGGATAGAGAGGGGAAGAACTGAGGGGGTTGGAGGAGGGGGTTCCAAAATGGTAAGTGTGGAAGTGCAAATACCTTTTTAATTACAATACAATTGACCGCCCTCTAACATGGCGACATGATGGAACTTAAGAAATGAAGACGGCCTCGCCAGGTACGACTCCTAGGAAAAATAAATTTATATTTTACCTTGGAACTTGGCAATTATAAAAATCTGTTCAACACGCTGATCGGTCTAAATACCTGCTCAAACTAAATGTATGATGCAAGCGATCCTTCTAAAGGAAAAGACGAAAAATTAGCCGTCTTGAGCTTACGTTCATTACACGTTACGGTCATTTCACGTCGTTGTTTTGCAGAGTACAACAAAAAAATGTACAATTTTTTTATAACGCACGTGCATAGCCATTGCTCTGTTTATTAAACCTTTTGTTTGGTGACGTTTTCATTGCCGTTGCTTTGTGGTTTGCTTAAGAATACTTTAAACTTTGAACAGCGCTGGAAGTATGTACGCATTGCGTACCTATGCACTCTTCGCCAATCATTCAAACCAAGAACTGACTACCTGAGGCGTAGCTTCAGTTACAGCGGAGCTTCTCTACGGAACAATCTTTCAGAGGAACTTCGTACTCAGTACAAAATCTCTAGACATCTTCAAGAGAAGCATTAACAAATGGTTCTCTGCATTGGACTCCCACACGGCAAATATGTAAACCAGTAAATATAATATTTCAAATGTGATGTATTTTTTCTATTACTGTCATACTGATATTTTTACCATGTTTCAAATAAAGTTTTCATTCATTCGATGCTGTATTTTATGATTTATTAATGTTCTGCTATTCCATAAAATTTACACAATTTTTTACTCTACATTTTCTGGCAGATAATTATTTTAGCACATAACTTGCGCGATAATCTTTGTATTCGAGTTCCTGGGAAATGGATGTCTCTGTGTCAGTCGTTCAGTTTCATTCCCTCGCAATCCAAGCTTCTGGCTGCCTCACAAAGACTCCTGGCTCTTACTTCAAACTAGAGGGAAAATGGAAGACAAGTATTAACTGTTCGCGTTGACTTTGGGATCCAGATAAAATAAATCAGAAATTAATTTTAAAATTTACCTAAAGCTTACACTAAATAGTTAATACAAATACTTCAACACACACTAGTGTAAGAATGTTTTAATTATTAAAGAAATAAATGCTAGAATATTCTATAGAGTTAATAACAAAAATATGCTAGCTGTTGCATAAAACACATGATTGACAACCTCATCTCACGAGGGTTTTTTCTTAAGACGGCAATAATAATAATAATAATAATAATAATAATAATAACAATAATAATGATGATAACAATAATAATAGATATTTATATGGGCAATGGACAATGCTTCTCTTACTTTCTTTGAACGTTTTACTCACACATGTGATCCCAAGTACCTAACAAAATGCTTCCCGAGTCTAAACTGTTTTAAAACTCGTTAACTCAAAATCTGAATTTGAATTCAGCAGGGATCGAATAAAGCAAGAAAACCTAAATCTGAGTCCGGCAGATTCCTTTAGAATGAAATTTGGGGAAAGTTACGTCATTTTCACAAAATCGTAGGCAAGAATTTGTTTAGTTATGGTACAGCTAGAGACAAAACAAAATTGTTTAAGCTTCCGACGACAAAAATCCCTTGCTTGGGTATTAAGATCTACTGTGCTGATAATAAGAAAGAAATACCATCATTCAACGTATTGGCTTATGAAGAGGTTAGAGAGCCAATACTATCTAGCGAAACAAACCTTTCTCTCCAGCTCCCTTCTTCCAGGTGGATATAATGCTAATGCTGCCTCGGTATCTTGAACGAATGCAGTGAACAGCAACAAGGCTGCGAGTAATAAACAGGCCGGGATCTTCATCTTGAAATCACTCTTTCGCCGGCGTGCTACCAAGGTAATAGTGGTGTGTTCAATACTGTTTCGATATTTATAAAGATTCAGGCGGTAGTTTAAGTTTTCCAAGGCGCCTTGTAAAGTACTTAGTGAGAGACAATTCACCTTGTTTAAGGATGGAAAAAAGCTTTTATCCACGCGAATGAACAGTTTGGATGCATTTCGCACTTAACGAAAGACTAAATCAACACTTGGGAAGTCGATGTTAAATTTCGCCCTAGCCGCGGCGTGGGAGTCACGATCATTTGGTCCTCGCTAGACACGGATCAGTCGAAGGTTTCCAAATATTTCTCTTCATGTTATCTTCATTTCGGCCATCTTGTACCTTTCACAGTCAGTTATTTTCTTTTGCTGAGGTCGGTATGCAGTAGGAAGGGAAGACATGGGTCATAGGGAGAAGATGGGTCGAGAAGACTTGTTTAATTAAGATTGGTTTAGACTAACTAATTCAATTTTGAACCGGGCCTTCTTCCATAAAACCATTTTCCACAACACGGAACTCTAATCCTGTTGTTGTATTACAAACCAAACCAATTAAATTTGTGCGTTTTACAGTTTATATTAGGTTAGCTCTGAGCATTCTGGACAAATTACAATTCCTCTCAGTGCAGTTTCGCTGTTTTGTCGCCGTGAAATTTGAATCCCTGAGCACTCTTGCGTTGACTTGGCATTCGGTTGGCATGAAATCAAAATCTTGGATCAAGGAGAATTATGAAGGCACATGTAGGAGTGGAGAATGGTCCCTCAAAACTCATGGGTGTCGCAAAATTTTCGTACAGTTTCCTTTTTTTAGCGGCTATGTGTGTCTTGCAGTCTCGATTTTTTTTTTTTTTTTTCAATGCTGTCTTAAAGTTTCATTTTGTTTTTTCAAGGCTAAGAAAGTCTTCAAGTCCTGATTTATTTGTTGGCTTTTATAAAAAATAAGGTCTGATCATCTTACAGTCTGAACGTCTCGCACTCGCATTTAAAACACTCTTTAAGTCTCGG